ATTAGTTAGCTCTGCTAATAATGTGGCTAGTGCAGTAAAGAAACAGTGAGTTCTGTGAAACAGATATTGATGTGGGAGAAGGATAGCTTTCTGTAAATGACTTATTTTGGTTTCCGGATGAAGACATTGTCAACTGAAGAAAAAAGGCACAACCTAAAAGCTGTGAGTTATGTTTTATTAGGGGACCTTACTGAGGACTGTCCAGCCCAGGAGACGGTCTCTCAGCTCTGAGAAATTGTTCCAAAGAGGTAAGAGAGGACCCTGGATTTATAGGAGTTTTTGCTGGGGAAAAAAACCCAGTCATGTAGTCAAACATCAGAAGATTACTGCTAATCACAGAAACCAGACCTCTCAAGTTAAGGAATTTGGTGCTTTTCTACGTTTGTGAAGATAGGAGAGTCCGGGCTATTTGAAATTATTCCTCTGATGTACGACTCTCTAAATGGAGACTGTTTTTCTCCATCCGAATTTTCCCAATAGCGCACCTTGGGGATGTGTGCGGCTACTTTGGCAACTGATGGTCTGCAATGTTCCGTTTACTGGAAAGGCAGGCAACATTTTCTTTGGTCCATAGCGCCTCCTCTTGGTCACAAATTAGACCAAGGTTTGGGAGGCATTCCATGACCAATTTGTCCCTCGGTGCTAGGAAGGCTCATTCATGGATCAGACAAGGATTGTGTTGACAGGCCACTCAGTGTGCTAATTTTAGGTTAAGCGCTGTTGATAACCTAAAATTCTCTGTATCTTACTAGTGTATGTTCCTAGTCTATTATAATTCAGGAAATGTTTTCTTTTGTTGCTTTTACCCATGTCTAGTGTTGAATTATTACAATTATTTTATGTGGAGTTAAATGTATGATGGATTGCCTCAAGATGTTTAGCCATTATTAATTTTGTCAGAAGCCTGGTGACCCATTGGGTAAAAATTGGATTACAATTAGGTAAAACACATGTATATATATTTAACTGGGGTAAATAGAGCGGGCTTGTTTGGGTCTCTTTAATGTTGGGTACCAATTGGGGGTCCCTTTGGCCCATCCAGCCTTAGGTAGTGTTGTGTCAAAACCTTTTGCTTTAATCTCATTAACGTCTGTTTTTATTTGTCCCATTTCTTAACAACCATCTTAAGATTTTGACCCTTTTGGGATGAGTCCCTTTAAAATTTCTACCTTGCTGGAAAGAAATCTAGACTTTCTCTCAGCTTCTTCTTATTTTTGTTAATCAACCTAATTAACAATTAATCTAATGATCATTAGCATCTGTAAGACCCATAGAAGGGAAGTTGAGACCACAAGTAAGGCTTCCGAAACCATGTTTTTTTGTTTGTTTTAAACTAAGGGAGTTCTTAGTAATACAGGAGAAATGAATGTGGAGCGTGAGTAGGGCCGTGTCCCAGATCTCGACTGAGTCCCTGGGAGGAGCCCCGCCAAGTGTGGGTCCTTGGCTTCACACAGGAACGAATTCAAGAGC